AACTATGTAACTATTCTTACAAATATAAAACCTATTGTTGGAGTTGGATTCGTCACTACTTCTGCTCCTACAACAACCACCCCGACGCTACCACGTAGCATTTAGTTAAGAACCTTGGATATCTCTGCAGATCTATCTCAAGGATCGGGTGGCGTCTCGGCTACGTATGCCCTGCCACCCCTGGCCGGGAGCGATCGCAGGACGACCTAACAGAAATACGACGGATGCTATCCACCTTGGTTGAGAAGGCTTAGAACAAGGATGCATCGGTCCGAACCGTCGAGGGTCGACTTGAACAACAAGAGATCTCTCCTGCGAGAGATCTCATAGTCGGTTGCCCGAGAGATTCCCCCACGGAGGGCTGCTGGTGAAGACACTACCCCTCCCAGGCTTACAACCCCTCGGACGCAGTTAGATTTCTCAGGGATCTTCGCTACTCCCACTGGTACAAGCACGTACCCTGTGTTTAACCCGCCTGTGAGCTCGATGACCATGACCGCGGATATTCCTGGTCCGAGTTTGTAGAACGACTCTACTCGAGTTAACAAGCAGTCTTGCCACCGACACCGCACATGGAATCTGGTCTAACCGCTCTGGCTAGATGGGTAGGAGCAGCGGGAACATATATCGATAACCTGAACCTCGTAGGTGTTGGAGATATTGTCAACAATGACACGTTCCAAAGGTACGCCGAGCAGACTTTGGCCGCGTTGCGATACATGAGGTCTTGCGTCCAGTAGGCCATCAGTTCAGCCCTGGACATAGAGCGAACCATGAAGAAATGGGCTTGAGTCCCCTGACCCATGACAAAGACACATTGGCTCGGGGACCCCGACTCGTATCAGAGCAATTGGGATCAAGTACCCCGATTTGTAACGAAGCAATGGGCTCAGGTATTCTGACTTGTATAAAGGCAATGGGCTTAGGTACCTCGACCCGTATCGAAGCAAGAAGACCCGAGCCAAGGGCGACCCAGGTTAGGCCCAATACAATAAGGAGATTTCGAAGGCCCACGAGTCGAACCAAAATCAGGCCTTTATGGGAAGCCTAAGAGACCGAACCGACTAAAAAAAGGAAGCCAACCCGCCCCCCTAGAAAATTAGGAAGTTTTTCCTATCTCTTGGGATTAACCCTAGCCGACTTAAATTTGTATATATATCGATGTAAATCCTCGGACAAAGGGATAGGCAATTTCGTTAGCAAAACACTTGTATTCTCTTTGCAACAAGCTTTCTTAACATGTTAATAAAAACCACTTTGGATCTTCGTTTTGTGGTTTTATACTTAGAATTTTCAGTTACCTCTAAAATTTTTGACAAATCTAATTGTGAGATTAGATTTCCATAATTTGGCGTCATATGAGGGGACGTGAAATTTTCTTTCACTAGATACCATGAGAGATCCAATCCAAAGAACGATGACCGACGACAGAGTAAGGCGAGCCGGTGACCCACAAAACATAAATCGGGGGTGAAGGATGCACCACCACCCGCAATGATGGAAGGCAACTTTGGAGGCCATAGGTTAGTTAAAGATGACTGGAGACGATGCTCAAGAAGGCAGAGGAGCAAGACAAACTAAACAGCATAGTGACGAATGAGTTGAGGACCCCAGCAACGGTGAGCCGAGTTCGAAAAGGAGGCTCGAGCCTAGGTCAATTGAGGAGACCCACCCGACGTCTTAATCCAACTCTGCCATCGATTTCTCGACGCCCTTGAACGTGCCAAGAATCCAAAGTAGATTACCCGCGCTACATCAAATGACTGCAACGCCCGAAAAGAACGCAGAACACAAGATGCAAACACCCAGAGCTGATCGGCCCCGGTGGATAACCTGGAAGACTCTGACGATGTGAAAGTCGTAGCTGCATGCCGAACAGAAAGCTGATCTAAACAAGATCGAGACCTAATTGAGGAAGAGGAAAACAACCTCTGGATCCAGCGAGCTCAGTTCGAGGAAAAGCGAAGAATGGCGATTTGATACCAGAAGAAAGAGATGGCCGCAATTCGGACTGGCATGGATCGGGCTACAACCGACATAAAAGTTTTCCGATTGCAAATGCACAGAGCCACTAGCAAGGTGTGAGAGATAGACCAAGTGCTCAAAGAAACACATTATATCCCATTCACGGTTCATATCACCGACACGAGGCTCTCCGATCCCAAAAAAGTTAATACTAGTTTACGAACATAGTTTTGTAACTTGTGTTTGTGTAAACCCCAAAATTTATCATCCGTGGAGGGCTTAAAATTTATATTTTTGTCTACTTCAATTAAAAAAAATCTATGTACCAAAGTAATGAAAACGGTACTAGATTGGTTAAACTCATATCCCCCTCTATGTATACGTTAACTTTGATAAGCCCATGGAAATTTGTAATATTAAACAAGGAAGTTTTAGATGTTAAACTAATATATTGAACTAAATTTGTCTGTATAGCTCATTTTCTTTTAATCTCCTACTTGATTTGGGATACATATATTGCCATCTTCACAAAGATGGTAATAAATTATATTCGATTCAAGTGAACTACATTCGCAACTTGACCACTAACCTAGCTATGTGAAGGTATTCTATTATTTCTCTTTTTAACGTTGTACTATTTCAAGAATAACAAACTCTAGTTCCATTAGCTTTTAATTCATTTAGAGAAAATAATACAAAGAACCATAAACTAAATTTTACGAAACAGAAACGCGGACGTAGTACAGGCTCTCACCTAGTTCACTA